TTACTTTCTACTTCTTACATGTTGAACCCAAATACCTGTACTTTCTACTTCTTACATGTTGAACTCAAATACCTGTACTTTCTACTTCTTACATGTTGAACACAAATACCTGTACTTTCTACTTCTCTCATTTTCCAAACAGGCTGGTTCCTTTAGTCTGAATGTGTGTTTGGTGGCGTGATCATTATTATTTAGAGTCATTGCGTGCCTATTGATTTGAACACGATCCGTGTATCCATCATTTCCTGGTCTTCTCTAAAGAAGAGGGACCAATGAAAACGTTGTCATGTTGCTGTTGGTCACCATGGAAACATTCATTAGCTAACAATGACATTATTGTTCTATTAATATAAAGGGAGGTCAGGTACTCTTTAAAACAGCTGCTAGTTATGGGTACTTTTTACTGAAGTACATTTCAAAGCCTCTTTACTTTGACTTGAGTAAAGAAGTTTAGTCAGTACTTCTACTTTCACCAGAGTATTTTTAAACTTGAGTATCTGTACTTCTTGAGTACAGGTTGTGTGTACTTATGCCATGTCTGATTTTAAGTTGAAAGTTATTCAACACAACTGAATTACCTGTAGATGCAGCCACTGCCCCGATGATCACTGGAGGAATTCCAAACGTGGGAATGAGAAAAGCCGCAGCGTAGCATCGTAGCTTAGCCGTGGTGGAGGAAGAGGCCGATAACGTCCTCTGGTGGAAGTCCTGGAAACCGAGGTCTCCGATGCTCTTCATACGACAGAGAAATAAGCATACGGAAGGATTCATGATTACAACAATAACCGTAACTCTGACCCTTAACTCAATCTCAATCTTTATTTATGTATATAGCACATTTAAAACGACCTCAGTTGACCAAAGTGCTGTACAGGGAACACATATAAAATAACACAATAGGAGTAAAACAAAAATTAAAAACATGATAGCACAATAACTAGAAACATATAAAAACACATTCAAATGTCAAAATGTTACGTTCAACTAGTGTTAAAACGTAACTCTATAGTGGAAGACAATATTAAAGTATAAGTATTATTAACTAGCATCAGATGGGAATACTTAAGTGCATTTTACATAGATGTAGTTCTTGAAAGCATTCTCTTAGTTACATTTCACCACTAGGTCATGCTACTCTTACCTTTAAGCTCATCTATATTTCACTGTTGCACGTCTCACTTGTCGAGCTCCCTTTTGTCTCCATGCATTAAATCCATTACCTTACCAAAAGTAGAAAGATATCGATCCACCTCCAGGCTTTGTCTGCGGTCAGCGTGCCGACCCATGGGGCCTGGAAGGTGTGGTTGAAGGAGGTGGAGGTGATGGGAACAGAGGAGGGACTGGTGAGGATGAAGGGGACGCACAGCCACTGAGGAGAGAGAGGAACACCACAGAAGAAGAGCTGGTTTACATTCAATCAACTGGACAATAAAATACAATATACAGGAGGAAGGGGACGCACAGCCACTGAGGAGAGGAACACCACAGAAGAAGAAGAAGAGATGGTTTACATTCAGTCAACCGGACAGTGAAAATGAGATTCAGAATTTTTTTTTATTCTCACTTTTTCCTCAGAACTCAATTTCAGTAACTTTTGGCTACATTTTATTTGAGTAGTTTAGACTTTTTCTCAGAACTAATAAAAAAAATCGCTTCCGGTCATATCTAAAAAAATTCACATGTGGCCCTTATCCTCTTTCGTATTCTGACTGTCATCAGACTACAATTTGCCCCATTGACTTACATCGGGAAAGACACGTCTGTAAATCAGTGGATATTTTGAGCTAAATCAACTCCTGGAACACTTTTCAAGCCCCTATTTGAATCATTAAGGTCTCAAAGTTGTAAAATGCGCTAAAAGCCGAATCCAGAGTCATTTTCTCTCTCCATATATTTGACTGAGAGGAGAGCGGGGGATGGAGGCGGGGCTAAAGCAAGTGAATCCCCTCTATGGGGCCACATACGGGTACTTTTGTTCTCGACAGGATGGCCATTGTTGCTTCATGCACCACCGAGCAACTCCTAAAGGATTTAAAGGGGTCCCTCCTCCAATAGTTCTCTTTGTACATCCATTCAGAGACCTGACTATTGTTTGTAAAGCACCCGAGTTTAGTATTGTACTTAGAGGAGACAGATGGGGATGTCTTTTGTTTTGATGATTGGGAAATACAAATAAAACTACAGAGATAACAGGACTTTTGTGTGGATCCAGACTAACTCAGTGACCAATTTACCGAGGTGACAAAAATGAGAGTGAGTTGAATAACGTCGGTGTACGCCACAGAGTATAATCCCCCCATCAGGGTGTAGGTGATGGCCACGGCTGCAGAGATCCAGATGCACACAGCGTACGACAAATCCAGGATCACACTCATGGTGACACCTGGAAGATACACACACACTTTAGTAGCTCACACACACTGTATACACTGATATCCAGAGGTGGGAAGTATTGGAGTACAAATACTTTGTTACTGTACTTAAGTACATTTTTCTGGTATCAGTACTTTACTCCACTACTTATTTTTCTGACGACTTTTTACTTTGACTTGTTACATGTTGAACACAAATACCTGTACTTTCTACTTCTTACATGTTGAAAACAAATACCTGTAGTTTCTACTTCTTACATGTTGAACTCAAATACCTTTACTTTCTACTTCTTACATGTTGAACACAAATACCTGTACTTTCTACTTCTTACATGTTGAACACAAATACCTGTACTTTCTACTTCTTACATGTTGAACACAAATACCTGTACTTTCTACTTCTTACATGTTGAACACAAATACCTGTACTTTCTACTTCTTACATTTTGAACACAAATACCTGTACTTTCTACTTCTTACATGTTGAACTCAAATACCTGTACTTTCTACTTCTCTCATGTTGAACTCAAATACCTGTACTTTCTACTTCTCACATGTTGAACACAAATACCTGTACTTTCTACTTCTTACATGTTGAACACAAATACCTGTACTTTCTACTTCTTACATGTTGAACTCAAATACCTGTACTTTCTACTTCTTACATTTTCCAAACAGGCTGGTTCCTTTAGTCTGAATGTGTGTTTGGTGGCGTGATCATTATTATTTAGAGTCATTGCGTGCCTATTGATTTGAACACGATCCGTGTATCCATCATTTCCTGGTCTTCTCTAAAGAAGAGGGACCAATGAAAACGTTGTCATGTTGCCGTTGTTCAGCATGGAAACATTCATTAGCTAACAATGATATTATTGTTCTATTAATATAAAGGGAGGTCAGGTACTCTTTAAAACAGCTGCTAGTTATGGGTACTTTTTACTGAAGTACATTTCAAAGCCTCTTTA